GTCAGAATATGAGACCGAATTTCATCTTGTTCAAATTCCTCGTTTTCCCTTTAAGCGTTAAACTATCTTTCGTTCTGCGAGATGATTCTCTTAAGAATTGGAAATGGGAATCACCATCTCGATTTATATTTTACTGTTCCCATCCTAGCTTTTTTTCAGTACGCTTATGTGCCCGTTTTGCACATTTACCATTGTGGTGCCATCGTATCAACGTAAAAGGCCGGTAATTCGTGCTTCGGAGTTTGTCTATCATATGATAAGTCACGAAGCAGGTCTGCTTACTTACGTAGTTGAGAGAAGGTTGTTGATATCTTGTGTTGCTTACAGAGGCTCGACTAGGGTGCGATCATTGCGCTCTTTCGTTCTCGACGTTATCAGAAAAACAGAAGCACAGAAAAGAACATTCAGCAGTGAATCCGAAGTGGACGTTAACTTACAGAGTAAAAGTTTTTCTGATTAGCTTTCTTTCTTTTCAGTTTGATCACTTTGCATATTAAAGCCTTATTTGCAATTTAGTTTATTGATTTAAGAATCCCGAGACTCGATCGCGTCCTCGTAGTAGATTAGTATGTCTCGAGCAGAAGCCACAATATCAGTGCTCGAAATGTGCATCATCTTCCGAATCAGGCGTAAATCACAAGAAATGTTTAGCATGCATAACTTTGGCTTTCAATGAAAGTTTATATGGTGAGCACTTGTGAGCTTCTTAGTTTCTGTGCATAACAGAGTTTTGTTCTAGGCAAGCGTCGTGCAATAACCGACACCTCGCTTCGACGTGGAATCGACTCAATACAATGTAGCATTCGTGGTATGCGATTTCGCTGCAAATGTGGACTGAGTACGAGAAATGGCAATCGCATGGCTTTGCACTACTATTATTGCCGAAAGGAGTTCAATGTAAGGGTTATATTTTGTAGACTTCTCCATAATAATGCTGTTCGTTCTATTCGCATATTAATTGGTGTCTTTCATCATTTTTCATAGTTACTAGGATCGCAGTTGAATCAATTTGATATCCTTAATTTGGGATTAATTATGCACTTTCTAGAATTTTCATATCTGATACTTCTAATTGTTTTCAATTTTTCATCATAGAAAATATTCATTTTTAATATTGGGTGATGTGAAACCTTCTTAAACCACGGTTATAGATCGTTGAAACCGATGATGAGTTGGCTGAACAGACTGCAGTTGATGAGGCAGAAGATAAGCTGGAAGCTCAGCT